AAAAAAAAAAAAAAAAAAAATCAAAAGTCAAAAAAAAAAAAGACCTGGTCGAAGAAAGCCTTCTTTTCGTTATCATCAACGCCAGGCTCGGGCCAGTGCTCAAAAAGATGAGTCTGTCCCATTTCCAACAATATCTTCACCAAATCAACCTGTATTCCATCACCACCAAAATCCAAACCACTCATTACAATAACAAAATCCAACATCAACACAGAAAACGTCATATTATACCTGTTCAGCCGACAGAAGGTGAAGATTCTTCTTCAGATTCGGAACAGAGGAAGCGAAATCGGCATTGATGCCAAGCTGAGAAAGCTTGAGAGCAGTGGAATCGACAGAGGATGCCATCGGTACACCCCGATGAACAGAGATTGGAGGGTGAGAATTGAGATTGAAGCGATTTGAATCAAGCAGAATGAGGAGAGAATTGAAGAGATATGGTAGCGAATTACATAAATAGAAAAGAAACAGAACAGATGGTAAGGCTTTGTGGATCTGGAAATTCTGCTCCGGTCGCGGTGAGCGGACGCTACGCTACTTTTCGGTTGTCAATCGGTCAGTTGTTTAATGGGTCCCCGTCTTGGATCCTCGCTGGCAACGTCAAAATAATTAATAAATAACTTGTTTTTTTTTTTTTTAATATATTTATTTTAGTAATATTTTCATTTTTCAGTGATAAAAGTTAAAAAGCAAAAAATAAATTATTCGATAAAAGTTGAAACTGACAGTACCTTTTTCTTCTATTTAAAAATAAAATCCTTTGTAGATGCCGGAATATTCTTTTTACTGTTTTTTCATTTTTTATTTTTACCTTCGGTAAATTAATAAAAATATTCTAACTTCATATATTTACTATTAGTAAAATTATTAATATTTTATTTTTAAAATATTTAAAATATTCTAAAACTTTTAATCTACTCTTAAATAAAAATACTTTAAAATTATTTCAACACTATTATTACGGTTAATGAAAAATATTTTAAACGTGTTAGATAGATTTATATTTATATATTAACACTGATAATTTTTTAAATTTTTTTAAAAAATTAAAAATTAAGGATATATAATGCTACTGTTAAATTAGTATTCTTTTTAATGAATTTTTTTGAATTTGATAGTATTTTAGAAACTATTTGAAATATTTAAAGATATTTTTAAAATAAATTACGTTGTCATAATACATTTAAATTTTACATAAATTTAAGTTTAGATTAATTTACAAATTACCATTATTTATAAAGGGTAATAAATTGCAACAAAAATATTATATTTTATAACACATTAAAAGCATAGGATTAATTATTAAAGTCAAAAAACCATTAAAGCCCAACATCCTCATGCTACGAAGATCAAACCTTAGTCTATGTGCTGACTGGACACTGACATTTCAACTTAATTATGTAACATTTTTGTTAGGTTTATTCTTGTCCTTTTCTTGTCTGACTAGTTCCACCTTCCTTCTTAAATATACTTATTTTAATTCCTATTTTTTGTGTTTTAAAATTTTATTTTCTTATTTTAATTTTATTTTCTTTCGAATTTTTAAATCTCCTGGAATATATATTTTAATTAATTGGGTTAGGCTTAAATTCACGTAATTTTAAAATTTAATACTTATTAATAGTTTAAAGTTAATATAAATATATTTTTAAATAATTATTATTTGAAAATTTATGAAAAAAATAAAATATTTGCCATAAATTTTTTGGTCAACTATAACAATTAAAAAAAAGAATTAAGCACATAGTAATTGCATCGTAACAAGTGTCACGATCATGTTACGATCCTACCTTTTTACCTTTTTACCCTTTTTAGACTCGTTCTATACTTCCTAGTATAAAAGTCAAACTAACTCTAAACGTTCTAGGACGAAAGAAAAATGCTTCTTGGGAACTCGTTTCATGTCGTCATATTCGTGCTGGGACGGAGCCGTATGAGACGAGAGTGTCAAGTACGGTTCTTTTGAGAAGGGTGTGATACCACCACCTATCAAACCCAACGAGCAATCCACAAAGCTGCACTGAATCATACGGGGGCAAAGAGAAGAACTTCGATCTTTCTACTTTCAAATGCAATTTGTGCGCGTTTTTTCGATGAATTTTAAAAATATATTCACATTTTCAGGGAAGTTTTGTACAAAGAAACATTACAAGCAAAACTGCTCTGCTCTTATTAGCAAATGGTTGGCTATGCAGAGCACTGAACTCATGTTTCACTCTTATGAACCCTTTTGTAGGGATAAAATGGAAGGGAAAAGAACTAAAAAATAAGCCTAAAATGGAGGGAGGAGGAGGGTACCCCATAAACAACCAAAGAATATACGAAAAAGCCACACGACTTGAACGCACTCGTCGAGCTAGTCGATGTTGTTAGTCGAACCCTGATGAACGGCTCCACCTTCCTTGCAAATAGTCCTCCATTGAGATACTCTGCTCGATGCTACTCAGGGAGAGCGAGTCGTCATCAACGTCGAGCAATGCAACGTTGAGATGTGATTGAATATCGGATCGAGGACATACTTCATCGTCTAGAGCGTTGCAATCCTCTACAGCATTGATCTGTTGCCTTGCCCACTTGGTTACGTCTACATCGCCTTGGAGCAGTTTTAGAACCTGAAATTTCGAGACGTGAGAACGAATCGACGACCTGTTTCTCAGATTTGGGCAAGAATTTAGTATCATCTATGAACAATGAGAGATGTGACTTACATGGCTCATTGGAGGCCTAGCTCGTGGAGTGCGTCTGATACAAAGGCTAGCTGCTAAAACGACACGCTCCATCTCGTCCTTGTTGTAGTTACTTCCCAAGTTAGGATCGAGTAACCGATACACCTTCCCGTCGGTTAAAATTGGCCTTGCCTGGATGATAACACTCCATTTCAGAATGAAATACATCAATAATTCAGAAACAAAACCGAATCCTATAAGTTCTCGAACGACATACCCACATGACTAGGCTTTCTTGTCCTTTCGGATACTCGGTACTTATCGGTTTTCTCCCGGAAAGAAGTTCAAGCAGTACCACGCCATAAGCATAGACATCAATCTTGTCACTTACCTTACCGTACATGAAATACTCCGGAGCCAGATAACTGCAACAAACGACATTAACAACATTGTCGAAAACTATAGCAAACCGAAACATTGCATATGGCTTAGAGATACGAACCCGAACGTTCCTGCAACATCGGTACAGGTTACATGCGATGATTTTGATGCTCGTTTCGCCAGCCCGAAATCTGATAACTGAAGAAAGAAAGAGTACTATGAGGATCTAGAAACTTAGTACATATAGAACCATGTCTACTAGAAAATAGATGCATCTGTTTGTAGCACCTGCGGTTCGAAATTGTCAGATAACAAAACGTTCGACGATTTAACGTCCCTATGGATCACGTGCTGAGAGTCGCTGTGAAGATGATCCAACGCCTCGGCTACACCGACGGCTACGTTATATCTTTCGCACCAGCCAAATGCGTTCGAACTCTTTCCATTCCCTGGTTTATGATGATCAATGAACTTCAAATTCAAGGAAATTTGATATTTGTTGCAACAAAAAAGCACAATTAGAGGTTGCTAATACCATGAAGGATATCTTCAAGGCATCCTCTTGACAGGAAGTCATAAACCAACAGGAATTTACTATCTTCAAAGCAAAATCCCAAGAGAGAAATGATATTCTTGTGGCGTAAGGACGTAATGATCTCGATTTCCACAGCAAACTCGTTTAGAACGTCTTCCGATGGCTTCAAGATCTTGACAGCAACCTCGTTGTCGTCGGGAAGACAACCTCTAAAAACCTGGCTGCTTCCTCCTTTCCCTATCAAGTTTTCTGGAAAAAGAAGCAGTACATTCACAACAATACTAAATTTGCAAAACTCGAAGCATAGTCATGGAAGAAACAAGACGTACGAGGTAAGAAATTCGACGTTGCTGTAACGAGTTCTTGATAACTAAACAATCTACACGACGACGAGTATTTATCATGAAAACCTTCCAATTCTTTCGGTATGGAACTGGGGTTGGGGGAGAGCGAAGAAGTCACCGGTTCAGAACCGACCAGAACCGTAGCTTGACCAGATGTATTAGAATTGCAATCCAAAGCAGCAGGGTCTGAAGCAGACCGGTTAGGCAACCTCATTGCCCATTGAACTACAGAGATTTGCTTGGCCAAGGCTTTGTCGGACGAAGCTCGTCGACCGGATTGATCAGCATGGCGAAGAAGAGGCCAACCGGGTTGTACTTCAGGCGATTCCTTGATCAACTTAGTAATTGAACTCGAAGCTACCTCAACGTTTTGAACAGGAACAATGGCTAAAGATTCATCATGTTCATCTCCATCACCAGAAGATATCACTGCAGATTGTACCAAAGAACTCGATTCCGATCCACAAATCGAACAGTTCGGTTTATAAGAACTATCCATTACGCCTTTTGCAAATCCCTGATCCGAATCCTTACCAATTCCCAGATCACTTTCAACTTTATTTCCTATTAGATTTGCAGAAATCAAATTCAACTGAACCACAAAAACACTTCAAATGAAGAATACACAATGAAAATAACACAAACCTTGGCAGTCCCCTGTAGCCACTGCAGCTCGTTCAAATGTCACTTTCCCATTATGAACAGCGAGTACCCAACAGTGTTTGGGCAATTTTTTAGCGCAGTACTTGGCAACAGAACTCGATGAACGGATTTTATGGTGTTTTCGAGCAGTCCCAACAATTAAATTAGATGCAGAATACGATTTTGCTTCACGAACTAAGATTTTTCTAGCCGATGCTCCCCTGCAGATTTTGAGCTTCAAATCCACCTGCAACATTTGGGCCAAAATCGTCTAGTTTACAAGAATTCTCGATAATCATTACACAGATTAACAGATTTCAATCTTCATCCAGAAACAAAAAACGATCAAAACGAAGAAATCGGAAGCAATCGGAAGAAGATTAACCTGCTTCAAGTTACAGAAACCTTCATAAACAGCAAGAACAGAGTCGAACGTTTTCACAAGAGAAAGAAGCGAAGATTTCCCATCACGATTAACGATTTCTACAGAACCCATTTCACAAAATCAGTAAATCTCACTAAAACATCGAACAAATCTCCGAAATCGCACAAACCCACATCAAGAATTAAAACCTAAAACACAAAAATCAACTCACCATCGTTGCCAAGAACATGAAGAGCGATCACAAGGTCACCCGGTTGAGCGACCTTAACCAAAGCCCAAGTTAGCAGCTCTCTACTATGGGAGTCTAATTTCATGCCCACAAGCACAGAACGGCCGGAATCAACTTGCAGTGGCTCGCCGGCGACCCCATTTTGGAGCAATCTCATCTTGTAGGTCGAAATCAAGCCACGATTCTGTAAATTTGTGGGTCAAGTTCCGCCGTGTTCGTGTATTCGCCGGTGGGTTAGGATCATTCCGTGTTGATTTTAATTTATATGATCAAAAGCATCGGGAAAGAAAGCGGGAGAGAGACAGGTTCGGAGTACAGCGTGCGTCCGTTTGTTCGCTTTTCAAGTTCGCAAACCAGCCGGGAAAGTGACTTAAAAAACAAATTAAATAATAAATTTAAAAGTTCGAATGCAAGTGAGAAATATTCGGCTGCATCCGCTCCCATTTTAATAAAAGTTTAGCTAATTATAAAAAATGTGATTTATTTATATAATTTTAGTCTTAGATAATAATAATAATAATTTTTATGCAAAAATTATATTTTAATTTGGTTATTAGTTTTCAACCCTATCAAATTTTTGTTTTTCTAGTAATTAACAATTACATTTTTTAGTATAATAATTTAACCGGTCAAAATAGAAATAAATATGTAGAATTTGAAAAAAATTAAATATTTTTTATTACATAACTTCCGTAAAGACAAGAATTTTAATGAAAATTTGACAACCATCCTCGTACATGATTGAGAAAAGAGTAGCTAAATATCATATTAGATAAGTACTGACGTTTAAATAATTTTTTAAATAATCTAAAAAAAGTGAAAAATTAGAATAAAATTTTTAAAATAATGTAACCTAGTATTTTATGTCAATTTTTTTAATTAAAAATAATATTTTTCGGACCACTTTATATTGAAATAAATACATATTTAAACTATAAATTATATATATTTATTTATTTATTTTGTATATATAATGTTCTTAATTGATAAGATTTTTTAATTGTAAAAATTTTAAAAATAAAAAATAAAAAATAAAAAACGGTGGGGGTCGTCGCTTCCAATAAATGGCAACGACCGCCGTCATATTTTTGCTTCCAAAATATTTTAAATATAAAAAATAATATTTTTAAAATTAAAAAAATGTTTTAAAATTTTGTTCTTTTTTTATACCCAAATTTGTAATATTTTAGTATTTGAGTAATAATTTAATTTTTGTAAATAAATATTAAGGTAATATTTAATAAACATTTTTTTGTTTTTAGAAATTACTTTTGATTTTTCATAATTTTTTAACAAAATATTCAAATTTGTAGTCAAATTTTAAAAATAATTAAATTTGCAAATTGGTTTTAATTTTGTCATTTTTTTTAAAATTAAAGCCACCAGCCGTTTGTTTTAAATCTTAATCAAAGCACGTCCTAATCATTATGTTAATTAAACAATAATACAAAGAATAAATTCCCAATTCCAATCACTTAATTAAAAAACATATCGTCATTAAAATGACGTAATTGCTCTTAATTATTCTAATATTTATTATGCCAATAATTGATTAATATATATATATATATGACATGGTCTTTTTGGGGGGAGAAAAACATGGAATTAAATTATTTGTGTCAATTTTCCAATTTTTATTTTTAAGAATTTAAATATCATTAAACTCCCACATTTTTATACTTATTTTATCTTTTAATTATGAATTTTGAGAAAATAACTAATTTGAATTCTAATCTAAAAAATAGTTATTTTAGTGATTATCATTATTTTAACATTTAAACATTTTACTACCTCTCTTAACCATTTTAACTTTGAATTCGTAAATACAGTATTCAAAAGACCTTGTGACACAAAGAACTCGATCAATCCAAGCTACAGCGAAGATTGAATTACGTTAAATAAATGAAAATTTTAGAAGTCGGGTTAATTCATAAATTTGTTGTTTTAAATTTTTTATAATTATTGAAATTAAATTAAATTCTTAATTGAATGTTTGAGAAATAAATAAATATGTGTTTTTATATTAATATTTGATTTTATTAAATAAATCGAATAAATAGTCTAAACAAGCAATCAATTTAATCCACAATATTTTATATTAATAAAAATTATTCGAATTAAGTAAATTTATGATTCTAACATAAAAAAACGTGTGGTTACTCGACCAATTTAATTAAGAAACATTTTTTTAATAAAAATATCGTTAAATTTGATATTTTATCTTAAAATATTTTTAAATTTTTAAAAGTTTTGAATAATATTCTTAAAATTTTCATTAATTTTCTTAATTTAAAAAAATTAAAAATAAAAAAATCAAATTTTTTGTGGCGCCAAAGGCAAGGACAGCGGCGTGTGGGAGGTTGACTTGTGGACTACGGAGTTGGCGCGAAAGCCGATTAATTAATCCGTGACGTCGGTGAAACCACCCCTCCGTAACGGTGCCACGCTGGCGTCCTCGAAAGCAACCCTCACGTGACCTCCGTACACGTGGCGTGTTCCACGCCAAACTCTGCGTTGTGGGCCCTTTTCTTTCTAGCCTCTGGCTCCGCTGTATCACGTGCACCTCAAGCTGCCGCCCACGTGCATCACTTTCCCAATTCTTTTTTTTTTTTTTTTTTTTTTTTTTTTTTT